AATTTCCATCCTTCCCAAACCAGCCTAGAGTTTGAAGCCATAAGTTCTGTAGCAAACACTTTAGATGATTCAAACTCAATGTCAGCCACAATGTCAGGATAATAAAAAAATGGCTTGGAAAGTGCCAGTATCTCAATCGTTAAGCTGTTTATGTCGTATTTAAGTGTACCCGGTGTAAAAGATGACAACAATCATAAGTATACGAAGCAGCCGGGTGATGATGGTCGAAAAGAAGGTGATCCAAATATAAAATCAAGACGAGTAACTCGTGGTGATAAGAAGCTAAATATTCGATCGTCAGGATTATGTGACGCTAAGCATAACCCACTCCAAGCGAATCCAACCAGCAATCAAAGTGGGCACTGGCTTCACTGGCAAGCGTATCACTCGACCTTCGGTCCAACGATACAATATGTAGCACAATCAATGTCACCAAGAATCATGTGATGGCACCCTCCGGGTAACAGTGGCTGGACAGATCCGCGTAAAACGCTGTCTTTACATGATTTTCTTAAGGCGTTTAATCATTGTAAATAAGATAAGTAACTTCATTGACTTGCATGGCTACGACAAGATACATCTCGGCATGGCCTTGGATGAAATAACATGAGCATCAAACGACCACAGGAATCCTGAAGAGGGTAATTATGTTACCCCTGTGTAAGAATGTGCAATCGTAGGCTCCTCAAGAGGCTAAAAGTCGGAGTAAAAGCAGCGCTAGTCACTTTGTCTTGACACGTGGTACAAAAAAACTTTGCACTCTGGGATAGATCATGGAAATGGGCCCCCTGGAGACACACGAGGTCGTACAGTACGACCAGTGACGAGACAGTAAATCTCCGTCGCGTTTCACGCCGTTGAGTCTAGCAGTAAGCTACTAGATGTCAAACCAAAGTTATGCCACATAATCTCTCTGTAATGAAACTGGCGTGCAATGAGGAAAGAAGGTTTGCAATGGACAGGCCCGTGTGTTTAACCCACCCAGCCGTGGGGACAGGCTAAAAAATATCATTTTCAGCGTATATGCGCGTGCCTAAAGCTCTCAAGTCAACAAGAGAGCAGAGTACTGACCCATCATAGCCAAAGCGAGTACAGCACTAGTAAATCTGTTATCCGAGAGGATATCCGAAAAAAATGACTAGAGCATATCGATAGTAAGGAGACAACTTGGGTCAATAAATTTTTACTTAATCGGATGACCACAGTCAATGGACAACCAGACATCACTCTGCGTGATCATCCGGTTGTCGTTGCCATACAATTGGCAGAGTGCCCGTGTCATCTGGACGAAATCTGTGCGATCACCAGGTAGGCTGAAATGCGTACAAGCCGAGAAAAGGGCACAAAACGGTCGGAATCAGCAGCCTTACCGAGGTGTTGGACGAAAGAAAGGTCAATAACCTCCTCAAGCTGATAGCATCCACTCACTGTCTACATTTGGTCCGCATAAGCGTTTTGACTTGCTCCAGAATCGTCCCGAATCGCCAAAAAAATTCGTCACGGGGCGGCTGAGCAAAAACATTCGAAGTAAGCTTGAGAAAAAGATCGCGCAACGTCTGATCGCAATCAGCACGGACAGCCAGGTCGTCAAATTCAAACAATTGAGCGCAGCTAGCCGCCCCTCCGAATCATTCGGCGGCAAAACATGTTTCGAAATGTTACAGATGTGGCTAGCAGATCAATCGTCGTCAACAGTCAATTCGTACGCATCAAGCTGATCATCCGAGAGTGGATTGGATATCATACTAATTTGGCGTGCGCATGATAGTACACTAGCCTCGCCAACACGAGCATGATTACATCCACGGGCTTCCGTTGGAATAGGAAACCATTTGGCGGCGGTTGAGCAGGTGTTGCAGGGGCAGCTGGTCCGGCGAATTTCGCGACAGAATTAGAAGAGAACACCGGCCCTAGAGACGGTGCTTGGCGCCACTGACCCAGAAACTCCGAAAATGTCGACGTAGTAGCAAGTGTCAAGGAAAATTGATAGCAATTTGATGTCTAAGGGATATTAACCTGCTCCCCTGGCAAAGACCGCTTTACATCCTGTGACTAAGGACCGATAGATTTTGCACCGTGCATTCAAACACACTGTTATGGTAGCTTTTGACAAAATTCCTCGACCTTTGCTTTACTGTGGTTACTTAAAAAGAAAGAAACTATCTTGGGAGCCCCCGCTTTTGAAATTAGTACCCTACCTCGAATTTAACCCAGTACTGAAATGCTCATTCAACTCTTGGACTCAAGGCGCGTAGTTTGCGCAAAATACTGTTGCGATCAGCCCCGTCATCAAAAAGCTGATATTCGCTAGTAGATCACGATCGGTCGGCTTTGCGATGTCGAAGGACCCTGGAGAGGCAGGGTTGCCTCTCCTCATTCGAGGAATTGTCAGTTGTTGCTAAAGGAGACACCACCTGCAGTACATGTGGCCTGGTGAAAACCGGTATGAGCGCGATATATCGCGACTTATAATCAGTGTTTCTAGATTTTAGAATGGGCAAGGTAGTGCTGTAGTACTTACGCAATCACGAGAGTACCGTCCCGCCACATCTTATTGTAGCGAGCATATGGCGATAGCGTAAACATTGGTGTATACGTAAACGAGATCGATCATTGACGTCTACCGGCAGCAAAATGGTTGCATCCATATTCGGACACACTGAGGCGCTGCAAGAACTAAATGCTGTTAACGCGAGTAGTTGTCGATGCAAGTAGTAGTCAATGCAAGTAGTTGTCAATGCAAATAGCTGTTAACGCGAGTAGTTGTCGATGCAAGTAGTAGTCAATGCAAGTAGTTGTCAATGCAAATAGCTGTGTACGCTTAATTTCCCGCTTGTCGAAACATCTCTAAGATCGTTAGTCTCGAATCTGTCTTGCCGCTGTTTCGTAATCAGCCTTCGGTCCGACAGAATGCAGACATACTATAAATAGGAGATTTGTAGATAGGTGGGGTCGTAGCACTCGACATGAACATTGCTGTCCCTCTTTCTACTAGGTACGGCAACGTATTAGCGAAAGGTTGCTTGCCTCAAATGTATAGCCTTCGATGTGTAAAGAGAAGCTGACGTCAATCGTTGAGGAGATTACGACAATGTGGGGAGGATAAGAATTATCCTGTCGACGCGCGTCGATCTACTATGCACGTCTGATGGTCTGTATGGATACTGCATCTCATGTGTGTGCATTCAGTGTGCTAGGATTTTACATGTGCTCAACATCGTGCAGGTTTATACCCAAGTCTTGGCACTATCGTCGATCGAGGTACTGGGCCAAACACACATGTAGACAACGACGCCCTCTGACAAATACATCTGTAGACAGCAACGCTACACTCTATTTGTATCCTTCTTCGAAAAAAACGCAAGATTCTTTCACGTCCCGCTGGCTTGTTCCTGCTCTCCACAAACCGCTAGACAAAAGAAACGTTGAGCAACAGACGTTATCGGCTAGTTGACACTTTTGGTGTCTCCGTGCCATCGCTTTGTACACATCATTTATTCACACTGAATATCGAGTTCAGTATCGAGCGATTCGAATGTTCCATTGCCGCACCCACGTTTGTTTTCAGGTGATCGTACTTCTATAACAAACATCGTGACCTTTAGCTTATTGCATCACGCCTCAGTCTTCTTGTATTCTACTTCACCGATTGTGATGTTTGCTTCAACCCTTCACTCCATCATAAGTGCAATCGAGAATGGGTATATTACTGGCATTTCGAGTGTACACATCGAGCAAATTTTGGTCTTTCTTCCGTATGTGCGTGTTATTAAAAGTGCGCCAGATAGACAAGCTTTTTGCCGTGTCTCTTGCATTTGATAGCAAGAAATTCAGCCTTGAGTACCGCGCTTTGGGTTACAGGAGTGCGCCTGCAGTTATTACCGATAATGATGTCCTGCCTTGTCATTTCGACACTTTTTTGCGTATAACATCGACTTTCATCGATTTGTGATGCAGCCAAGCAAAGAACTCCCACCAATATGAACGTTATCGAAAACGGCTGTGCTCAGTTGAAACTCGTTGACTGGTAAAAACAATGCTGGGATATCTGCACAACCTCGTAACACTGCACTCAGCCTGCGACAACATTTTGTCCTGTGCCATCAAACTTCTTGTCGACAGCTGAGCGATTGGCTTATTGGTTCTCGTAAGCGTCCATGGTGCACCTTGTACTGAGCTCTAATATACTAACGCAAGATAGCGCAGGAAGGGTGGCCAGCAACCCAAATGCCGCGTACCGCCGGACAACTTCGACGACCGGGCATGTTTTACAGTGTCTACAATGCGTGTGCTCACTCGTCTTTTTTCTATTGTGAGATTTCTGGCAAAAAATCTACGCCATCATCCCAGATACTGCTTGGCAATACATTCGTCCACACTTTACGCTCACGCTCATCTTAATTCCACGAAGTCGTGAGCAATAGCATCAGCTCGGTCCTGGTGACACTGTAACGGAGCACCCTTTGTCTGGGTGCCAAGAAACTTCACGTACACTAGGACGTGCAGAGGAGCTAATCTACTTGAACGACTCGTTCAAGTCCTGGTAAAAAGAGAACTGTATTTATTACAGTTAAGCTATCAGTACAACTTTAATCTTTATCGAGCTATGTTAAACTACGTCTTCGTATGACTACAACCTGCTCAACACTCATTGCGCGCGTCTAGCAGCAATTGGTGGCAATCTACGGTTGATATGTCTTATGTCATTTAATCTTGGAGCAGCGCATGAAAATTATTCAAAAGAAGGATAATATTCCTTTAGTTATCCTATCTCGGATAATATCGGTAGAATGATGTCATGCTAGACTATATCCCTATTGACACCGTTTAGTGTTAATTTCATGTAACGGGCTACCCCGTTACACCACCACCCCCTTAAACATCAACCACCCGTTACATATACACAAATAAATGAATCTGGACAGGGTGACCACCGTTGGATCACTCTGGGAGAGGGAGCACTTAATGGTCAAAATTCCATTCATTTGCCTTTTCAACGCATGGCTTCGAAATCCAAGCAAACTGCTACTGTAGCAGCAAGAAAGGTGGCTGCACGCATGCGTGCAGCCGGAAAGAGTACTTCTCACACCTCAGCAGCAGGTGATATATCGCCTGCTGCTGTGAACAGTCCGCGTGGTGAGTCACTACGTGTGACAGGTGCATCCGCTGTGTCTGCAGCGGGTACCGCGAATCGTAATCCATATGGGCCGGAAATAGAGTTTATCTATTCTGGCGAGTCGGTTGAGGCATACGATTCGAAGGCGACTCCTCACGCCTCTGGATCACCCGGGGCGGACAGTGCAAGAGCCAGGCTGACTGGCTCTGGTCAGCGCGGCGATATCATGACCGAGATCTTCGAAATCAAGTAATTATACAGACGAATCTCCGCCCCACGCTAGTTCATCCAACGATAGGACGCGTGGGGATGGTGGTGATGACTCTGAGCATCACCACGAGCGAAGTAACTCGGGGGGATGAGCTTTCACTAGTTTAAATGCTCATGCTGGCACCAATCAAGAGGCCGGGGACCAAAATGTCCTACGCCACGCTCCCCAAGTGGAGTCTCCGTGGATGCCGTCTTTAGAGAGTTGTACCGGTTGGCCGGCATGACAAATCTCGTCATTTGATGAGCTACTGAGAACTCGTTCATCTTTCTGCAAAGACCATTGCCGATCGGATATCAGTCACGTAATCTTTTTCCGCGACGAATGCGCAAATCTTCTCGCCTTTGCCACTACTCCGATCACGCAAGAACCTGTGTTGTTTTAGCAGGGGTAAATAATTGATCTCCGAAATTAAATTGGCTGGCGCGATCAGATCAAGCATATGTCTACCAATGCTACATCCGTCATTACCTGGACATTCAATTTCTGTTATCTCACATGAACTTTTTCCACTGTATGTTACAACTAATTCATTCAACTCTAGGCGCCTGAACTATTTCATTTCCAAAATGACAATCATGGATAATAGGTTGGTTTTGATCAAGGTGTTGTCCACTATAAGGACACCTGCGCCTCGTTCATATCGACTTATTCGAGTGGTGGACCTTCAGCGCTTCCTGCATTGTTATGCAGTCGCCAGTGACTTGCTCCACAATGTGATAGTTACTCATGTTGCGATCTTGTGCAGTAGTAATAACTACCAAACCACACGTGAGTTCACCGCAATCACTCGTAGTTTATCCACACGGTGGTGGATGCTTTAAGACGTTCATCAGATGGGAGTCTGATAAACAAGCAGCGGGTACATCGACACTTCGTTGATGCCAGCTGACTTTTGGCTTGTACCTTCTGATCCACGGTAAACCAAGGATAACATCACCTTTTGCATCAAAGTCCAAGACGATGCAGCCATGGTCGTATTCGACTTCTTCCAGCGTTTAGAAAATTCCTTCCACACGTTTCGTTGTTACAGATTGTTACGGATGCTCCTTTCGCGAGGCAAATCGTCATACTCATTAAATGTATTTACTGTCCGATTAATGTTTTAGTTGTCACTGCACAGTGATTTGCGTCGCACAACGTTGTTTGACGCCCCCCCCCACTACATCGACTAGGGCTCGTTGCGACATGGCCTTTGCCGCTTCGAGCTTCAAGGTTTTAAAAAACTTTTCACAAGATGCAGTAAACATAAAGATTGAGTGTTGGAAGCAATTCTCGACAAGAAGACTGCTATTCTACTTGATGTTTCCATATGAGTAAGGTGCTTCGTACCTATTGACCCTGACCGATTTTTGTTCGTCCGTTACGGTCTTGCGTTTTGTGACAGTGTCGGACCCACGCCTCGCATCCTTCTTGACCGCTTAAAGGTTACTCCTTCATCTGTACGTGTTACCGCTTTCGGGGCACCGCAATTGTATGCATAATGTCCTGTCTTTTGACAATTATTGCATGTCTGCATTTTCTTATAATTGGTAAAGTGAGAGATTCGACTCTCAGCGCAACAGAGGTCCATCAAGTTAAGTTTCTGATCTTCTGTGAGCTCAAGGGACGATTGAAGTTTAAATCAGCGCGAGCTTGTTTAAAGCTGAAATTTGATAATTTAGCATCTTTTGGATGGCCTCTTCCAGGGTATTAAATTCCAGTCGAACGAGACATGTCCTCACAGGACCGTCTGTGAGACCCTGCATGAACAACGTAATTAACGTTTGTTCATTAAGCGATTTGAACGCGATGCAACTTTTAAGATGACATAGTACTAAATGTACAAGTGTATATCATGTTTGTCTTGTTTGAGGTTCAGGAGTTCAGAGAGAGCCCTAAAAAAAATCTCGCGGTAATTCAATTGTTTGTCTGGTCCGAGATTAGAGAACCTCTATCGATCCGAATACATATGGATATTGTGCTTTAAGATCTCTGGTCCAAGTCTCCGCACGCCCGGCCAATTTCGATTAATCGAATGTGACCTGCATTTGCTCATCGACGATGTGACAAACCCTTATGAAGTTATCTAGCTCAACAAAACATATCAGCAGTGAATCTACTTCATCTGCTTTGTATGTGGACATGTCAATCTTCATGTCTTCGTGTAGACGTGTATGTGTCGAACCGGTAGCAGCAGCCTGCTGCTGTCTCAACAACCTGAGCTGTTGAGTACTCTATTTGATTAACAGCTCTGTATATTGAGACCCTTATTGGTGAAGCGAGACTACCTTTCCCTACCCAATGTCAAGTTTATTTGAATAAACGTACAATGGTGGCGTGTTGTCCGTCTGGACCCTTAGCAAACAGCATTGCGTCTACGGCTTCTTGCCCTGTCGTCAAAAACTCATACGTTCGACGGCATCCCATCAAATTTGACTCAAAAGGGAGTATCTCTCGTGGAATTATAAACAGTCTTTTTTATTGCCTGACATGTTCAAATAGTGATAGGACGGACTACAAATTGCCACCAGGTGCAACGGGGCACCGGTTGCTTGTACTATCACAGTACAAGCTGCTACACTTAACACAGAGTAATGTGGTGCCTCTAGACTTCACGTACACGCATCGTACAGAGTAAGGTTTCGACACGAGATGAGGGGTAAAAGTAGAAATGTAAATAGTATAGATAGTCCCCTGTCAATACCCCTATTTGGTGTTCGTTTAACGAAACCTTAATAAAAACACAAGAGTAACTATCTGCTCACCAGTCCTTGCGTTCTTCTGTCGTATCTCGGCTCTTTTTGGTTTGCTTTGTTAGTATACATCACCCAATGAACAGTGTGTTACTTTTGCATCATAACATTACTTATACAGCCAATATTGTGAGAATATTTGGTTTATCTTAACAACATTTCCATGCTTGGTATTCACCTTGTGCGGACAATCGTGAAACGGATGCACCCCGTTACAGAAATGCTTGCATGTATGGTGATGTTTTAGAATTCAAGATCAATCGTCCATGTGCGGATAATTTGAAATAAACTTACTACGATGTTGTGACTTGTAGGTGTTCTCGTCCATCGCTAGCTCCCCTAGTTGTGAGCGACTAAGTCTCCGATTTTCCGACCGCTATCTATCAAAATGCGCATGAACAAGAGAAAATCGATTTTTAATTTAAATTCGTGTGGTCTCCGCTCTATCTATTGAACATGTTATAGCTTTCCATCGCTGAATCTACTACTATTTGTTACTATTTGTGGCAGACTGTCCAGGTAGAGTGTGCCTTGCATAATGTAAAGCCATCGATGCACAATCGTTCAATGTATAACATTGACATAGAAGGTAGATGCATGAGGCACCGACGACGCAATTAATTTCTTTGTTCTTCGTCTCCTATTCACAATTCTACTAGCGCGACTCATACACATTTATTGCAATATTCTAATCTACAACTCGTATTTCCTTAGCTTTTTATGAGGCGACCGCAAAATTGTAGACACACTGTGTTGACTCTTATTCAGTGCACTTGTTATTTCGACAGAAGTGATTGGTGACGTCCACGATTGCTTGGTGCGAGATACATATGCCATCAAAATCCGTCACATGCGACCTACCCATCGAACAGAAAGTGTAATATTAAACTCTCATACTGCAATTAGGTTGAGCATGCACATTGCATTTGCAAACAGTCTACTGACCCGCAATAGCCGGAAGATCGATTACTTAATATGTCGCCGTTTTCTAGTATCGTACAACACCAGCTTCACTTTGTGCAATATGGTTCTTGGTCGAGAGCGCAATGCTGTATGATTTTTTTATAATGTTATGTTTTTTATTCTTATTCACTCACGTAACGATTTGTGATAAATGATTATTTCAAACACTTCAAATTGGGGCGTAAGTGTTCAAGGGAAGGTGAGTACATATAAATCCCTTTTTTATTCCGAGTTCGATTAAGGTCTAAAAGTACTCGTATCGTCTCCAATGTGCTATCTGCCTGGTTTCGATTCCTGTTCCAAAAACCGTTCAGCATGGACTATAGTTTGTATATACTTGTACGCTTTATTGAACCAATTATGGACTAAGTAGAATTCGAAAAATACCTTATATGAATTCGATTAATTGTCATCCTTATTTCGTCTCTATTTGGCTTCATTTGTAGTGTATGTGGTATGCAAGATAATGGAAAGACCACACTACATCTTGTAATAATGCCAACACTGTCTGTAGAGAAAATCACCCTCTTACATCAAGCGAGATTTGTTGTCCAAATTTTATGTGATAGAATTATGCAGCATGTCTTTTATAGGTGATCAAATTCGGATAACTAGACGCGTTGTCCGCCGTATCTTCCAGATCATGCACACCAATTTTCACTTTTTTTGTATGTATGACAGTTGTACCAAGTAGTTTTCCAGGTGTAATTTTAGTGCGAGCATAATTAATACGAACGAACAAAGTGATGGCACTCTAAGTGTCTAATCATATGTCAAGAGATTTTTCAAAGCCACGCTTTGCCCTAAAGATCTGTATTCAGGCCACATCACTGGCTTTCAAGGTCTTTTCTAATTTTATCGTGCAGAATCTTAGAGTGAAGTACATTATTTGATGAGAAGTTGTAATCATGATTCTGCAAGAAACCTGATGATCGCGTTGCAACGCGCCTGTGTGTTTGCAAACTATTTACGTCGTCATCACTCGAATTTTTGTGCTGTGACGTACTGTTTTACTAAATTCTAATTGATGTATCTTCGACATCTGAGTCTATCCAGTTGCTTGTACCCTTTCGGACACAAGTTTGTCCGTACCAAAGCATGTTATCGTGAGAATCGTGATGACCCTGGCTGCCACAATTGATAATCCAGATATCCACGTAATAGACGTGCGCTTTCTAAGTTGAAATTATCCGGATCACCTAGAATGTTGATTCCGACAAGTCCTGCTGATCGTCGCAGATCCTACATTGAGATCTAGTCATTAGTGTGAGTGTAAATATGGGTGCA